ACCAAAGGACCAGGAACCAGAGGACCAGGGACCAGAGGACCAGAGGACCAGGGGACCAGGACCAGAGGACCAGGGGACCAGGGCACCACGGGACCAGAGGACCAGGGGACCAGGGGACCCGGGGACCAGGGGACCTGGGGACCCGAGGACCAGAATCGTAGATTCCTTGTATGCCTTGGGCGCCGCACCTGGATCAGCAGCGACGCCACCTCGGTGGAGCCGGTGATGGCAGCCCAAATCAACGGTGTCCAGCCGTTCCTGAGAAAGCAAGGGGGTGGTATTTCAGGGTTAGGGCCTGCAGGGCTTGGGATTGTGCAATTCTTTTGGATTCGTGCTTTTAGGGTGTGGGGGTTCCAGTTCAGGGGCTTTGGTGTTTTAGATTTAGGGGAGCCAAGCGGGTGGGTGGAGTCATGAGGCTTGAAAGGCCACAAGGTTGAAAAGCCGACTTGAAAGGGTTTAGGGTTAAGGGCTTGGGGTCTAGGGTTTGGGGTTTAGAGTTTAGGGTTTGGAGTTTAAGGTTTAGGGTCTGATCTGAGGTTTTATTAGGGTTCAGGGTGGAGGGCCGCAGGCTACCCTCTCTTGTAGCCTAGGAACCCACTATTGGGGAAGTGGAATTCAAATTTTAAAGGTACTAGGAAGATCTGCACGCCTGAGAAAAATTTCCTGCCAAGTGCTAAATAGAGGCCATATCCCCGAAAACCAAGGAAACTTCCTTGGGATCCACCCTAACCCTCAACCAAGAAAACTTCCTGTGAATCCAGCCCTCCACGCCAAGTTCAACTCAATTATGTCTCCACCGCCCTAATATCTTGAATGAAAATGTTCGCCTCTTTCCCAGAAGGCCAGGAAGTCCGCTGGGAATTGCAAAGCTGTACCAACCCTGAACCCTAAACCCCAGATCCTCAACCCTAAGCCTGAAACCTTTGAGTAAAATTCTAATTCCGAAGTGAGGCCGCCATGATCCTGGCATACTGTACATCCCTACGGCATCCCCAGAGTTGGTTGGGGACTCAGGGTTTGGGGTTTAGGGTAACTACCTTCTCCCGGATAAAGAAAAAAACCGGCATCTGGGTATGTGAAGGTCGTACAGAAACCTAGGGGGCATCAATTTGAGAAACAGCAGGCAAGCAAAGGCAACCCCTTCACAGAACCAAGTTGCTTGTTCCGACCATTCATGTTCACCTGCGTGACGGAAGCTCCCCTTTTCAGGTGTCACAGATCTGTTTTTGCCTTGTAGCTTCTTACGAAGCGTTCTCACCATGGGATTACTTTTTACGAGGTTGAAGAGTAAGGGTTGCTGTGAAGGAACTTAGATTAAGGTATCATAATGGGCATATGTAATAATTAGGGACCCTAGGGAATCCTAAACAGGGAACACCGAGAAAATACTAGCAATACAATGAGTAATATAAGGAAACTGGTAGGCATGTTCCTATTCTATTCCTACTATACTATTCTGGTTCCCTGTTGAGCATTCCCAGTAAAGTCCTGTTATGCTCCGGGTACTGCCCCCACCAGTCTATAATAGGGGTACAGTCATGCAAAGACTTTATGTTTCATATTATAGTCATGATCCAAATGTTGCTGAGCGGACAGCAGTATCAAGGGCCTACTATGAATTGGAGATGGCAGTGGTGGGAGCGCGAGAATATCAAGGAAACACGATGAGGCGGCAAGCAAACTTGCAGGGGATTGCTGGAATGTGATACAAAGCATGGGCCAAGGGCATAGTACCTTGGCAATGAGAGCGTGGAACGCACCCCATGAAATGGGTGCTCAACGTACCCCAAATCCCAAAACCTGTAATGATGGATTATCTGAATCTCTCAGAGACTCGGAAACTATGAAAATTATGGGGCCACCCGGGGTCCCATAAGGATTACATAGGGATCGGACCCCTGTCAGCAATTTGTGATCCCCATTGATCGCTGGGCTCCCTAAGGGTTCGGTTTAAGGTCTAGGGCTAGTGAAAGAGCCTAGATCCTGAGGGACATCTGTACGTCTTCAACAACACGGGGACATTGGTTCATCCAACTCTCAAATCGGGACAACTCTATGATTTTTCTGACAATATGTCCGCAAGCGAGGGGGGTTGAGGTTGCCAAAATGTTTCATTGCTGGAAGTGCAAGAACCCTATAAGCCCATACATATTAAACATACATACACGTCTAGCTTCCGTGTCAGTGTGTATGTGATTCTCCTCTTCTGGGGCACTACTTCTAAACCCATGTAACCCTACGTATCCCCTATACAAACCCCTGTAAAAACCCTACAACGCCCTTGAAGCCCTCGGGGTTGCCAACACCCAGTCAGTTCCTGAGGCTTTACAAGTTCTATAAATCTAGGGTTTAGGGTTTGGGGTTTAGAGCCCAGATTCATTTTCACTTTCATTTTTGCCGTTGGGTCCTCCACGACTTTTGAATTCCCTGAACCCAGAACCCTAACAAAGTTTGGGGGAACCTTAAACCCTACATATCCCTACATACCCTTATGTAACCCCTATCATAACTGCCTATATCCCCTATGTATTCTAAACAGCTTTCGACAAGGACCCTTCTCGGCCTGCTTGTGCGAAAGGAGGAACCGTACAACCTGCGAAAAGCAGCCATGACAGTTTAGGGCTGAAGGTTTAGGAGAAAATGTCAGGGACCTTGGCGGCTTGACATCACAAGTGGGTTGTAAGTACACTCGTAATAAGTTGCCCTGACCAACCTACCGAAGGCTAACCCTAAACCCTATGCCCTGGTTGTTCTATCCAAGGTATCCTAACCATGGAAGCCTCTCGACTACCCATAGCCCCAAATCATTAGAGGTTTAAGGAATATACAAGCTGTAGTTAGTTGGGGTTGTAGGTACAGCACTAAACCCTTATAAAAAAAAAAACCATTGTCCAACTCTTTTCCATTTGCTTCTCCCTATTCTTGGGGGTATACAGCCTCATAACCGTATATATGCATATATCATATCATATACCATGATATAATCCCTACAGAACCCCTATATCCTTTTTTAATCCGTCTAAGAAAGTCCTACCTTGCTTGCGCTCTCTCAACCCAGCTCAACATTAAATCCATACTCCAAGACCTGTAAGCACTGATCCACTTCTAGAATCTAGAAGAGTCAAGGGGGCTTTTCAAGTAGCTAAAACAGCCCTTATAAGCCATTTCGTAATCCGAGTTATCCCCATCACTAAGGTACTTAGTACGTCACTCTCCAAGTAGGGATCGTTTAAAACAGTGCGGATGTCATCCCAAACTGGTCTAGGATTTAGGGTTCAGGGTTAAGTTGTAATTAGGCTTAATTACAGCTACTTAAGGGAGAGCCAAGGGGGGTGGGTAGTATAGGGGGGGTAGTAGGGGAACCCATCATCAACCCCAATCCACAAACAAACAACTCTGAAACCCTACACTCCCAGTTCTACAGCCTAGACACCCCTGCCCCAGTGGTCGTACCCACAAGGCAGATAGCAAAAAATCTGGGCCTAAAATATATGTGAGCAGTACACTAAAGTCCCAGTATATTCTTAAAAGGTAGCCTATATAGCTCCCTGTCCGTCCTCCAAAACCTATTTAGCTTTGGTCGTAGCTCAAGATAGCAGTCAACTGCTGGTATATGGAACCGTAAACCCTAAGCCCTAAACCCTAAACACTACGCCCTAAACAGTGTGTAAGGCCAAGTCAAAGGCCGCCTCGACGTGCCCGCTCCGCGACGCCACGTGAAGCAGCGAATTACCCGCCGCGCAACGGACGCTCCTTAGTTACCCAGGGTAGGTTTAGGGTTTAGGGTTTAGGGGGCTTAGGGTTTTAAGGTGTAGGGTTTAGGATTCATAGGATCATTTCCGTTACTATATTGGGGAAACCCTGTTATGTACTATCTGCTATGGATACCCATTATGGTATCTTAAGTTAAGTTCCTTAACAGCAACCCAATACTTACCCAGGATGTGAGGTTTAGAGTTGAGGGTGTAGGCTTTAGTGTGTAGGGTGTTGGATTTGGGGTCTAGAGTTGAGGAATGGGGGTTGAGGGCCTAATATCCATGAATTAAGGCATATACCTTAGATCATGTTGGGTTTACAAGGTTATTGGCGGCTCTTGGCACAGCAGGCTAGATCTACTGACCTTCCGCGTGTGCAAAGGTACCCCTTTACTGCGTTGAAGAGACACGGCATTAATATTTATCCACCCCAACAAGAGAATGGTAAGCCGACCTAGGCAGGCCATTTACCTATCCCTGAGGCTCCATGTAGGTACTATTTATAGGGCTTAGGGCCCAATGTAGGTATTATTTATAGGGTTAGAGCCTCAGGGTATTACTACGTAGTCAAGAGAATTAGGGTTTGTGGACGTCTTGGGCTTGCTTAATCTTTTTTGTGAGGGTTGAATTTGTGAAGGGCTACAGCTTTGGGTTTTCAAGAGTAGGTGTGGGGTGTCTAGGTGCATCCAATTCTTAACAAGCTGCCTAAACTCCAGTCGCTGGAAACCCTAAACCCTAAGCCCCAAACCCGAAATCGTATAACCCTAAGCGCTGAAACCCTAAACTCCTAGACCCTACGCCCTATAACCCTAAACGCTACACCCTAAACCCTACCCCCAACCGGTCCAAGTGCAAACAAAGCAGATCCTCAGGCTCGAACGGGAGGCCTTTACCAAGAGTAACCTACAGTCCCCCTTAAGTAGATAGAATACTGTTTTGGGTACACTATAATAAGATCCCCACATGGGGTTGTATAAAAACCCCGTATTGAATCTTTCATAAACTTCAACCTTATCGTTTTTTTTACTCCTTATCGTTTT